TGGACCCGGGGCTTTCCAGAGAGTCTATTTTTTCTCATCCTTCTGGAAACGATAATTTAATTCCTCCAAATATTTCTAGAACTATTGCCTACAAGCTGCCTGATGCCTCACTTCCTCGGTCAAATTCGATTTCATTTCAGGCAAGGCAACAGCACCGCTTCAAATTCATAGTAAGTATGAATTCATCCACTTATTCCTCTACTTTATTGTTAGCTAGTAAAGCCTGATTACGTTACTTTTGGGGTTCTTACCTCTTTCCTAGTTATTCTGCATACTTATTTCAATAATATTGTTTATCGTAGCCTGTTCCTTCCAACGAGTAATTACTTTTTTTATGCCTAATCTATTTTATTGAGAAGCTCCATAACCTAACTAAATAACTTATCTTAGTTGCCTAGCATGTCGCTTCCATCAAGAATATAATTTTTTTATAGGTCAAATCTGAGTGAAAATTTAATTTTTGCTATAACGCATCGCAGGTCGATGGTATATAGAGTTAGCTATTTCATTCAAATCCTTAATTTCGTTATAACAATTTAAGTCATGAAGAGCATTTGATACTTTTATGTTTTAATTTTTGGTATTATTTTGGTGGCACTTGGATTCTTGCAACATTAATAATTCTAGAATTTCCTATCCTATCTTTTCGGAAGGGATACTAAAAAATTCAATTCATGCACTAGATGGAACTTCATATTCCCCTTTTTAAGAAGGTATTTTATGACTTATTTATTATGGACTTATAAACCAACAAGGTGTAAAAGCTATGTTACTGATGATGATTTTGAACTTTTAATTAATGCTATAGCTTTTTTGTAATATCATGACTTGAATTGAATACCCTCTTTATATCTGTAATTATTTGCAGGTAACAAATATGAATATTTGTGAAAAGCAAGTTGTTTTTTAGAGTGCTTTAACGACCAAATTTCCCACAATGGACTGAGTAGGTTTTATGGTGCTGTTTAGTTTCACAGCTTTGCTTCCAAAAGGGCTTTCTCATCAAGGCTAGACGAGTTTTAACCTCTTCTAGGTCTCATCGATTCTCAGAGGTATCGAAGGCTGTCGTGCACGTTATGGATCATGGTCAATTTCTGCTCTGTTATCCATCATCACTTGAGGCTGTGGCCTAGTGGTAAAGCTCATGTTTGATGAACACGACCACATTTTGTACTCTATTCTTGATGTGGAGATCTAGGCAAGGTCCTTATAATGTCGGGAGACAAATGCTTAGCACTAAAGTTGTTTAAATCCATTACTTTTAACTATTTACCCTTATCTTCAGTGTCCATATGAAAATTGTGGAAGACGTTACCTAGCTGAAACTGGACTCTCTCGCCATCTTCTTAAGTACCATAACGCTGCCGAAGATTTTTTAAGCAGCCTTTCAGTGACAGCCAATGTGGTGCGCTCCTCTTGCAGCCATGGAAATAGTTCCAGTAATATGAATACTAATACGTCTACTTCTATAAATCCAAATATCTCAAGGCCTGAGGCACTTGTTTCTTTGACAGACCGACTGTCCATCGGCACTAGTATCTCTACTCATCCTGTGGCTCCGAGCTTGGCACCGCCGTGTCCACTACTATCTCATGCACATATCCAGTCCCAGCCTGGGCCAGAGGCAATTGATCTGACCAGAGAAGTAGCTGATAGCCGCCTAATCTCTCGGCTAGTAGGCAAGATCGGGACAGACGGCTTGGCCAATAGCTGTTCTTTAGATAATCAGCCCCTAAGCCGACCACTCACTCACCATCGGCCCGAGCAGATGCTATTTCCAGCGCCCAGTGAAGCATCAACGAATCCCATTCAAATTAAGTCCGTGCTGAGAGCATCTCTACAACCCTTAAATGTCCCCAACCTTAATCGATATCCGGAAAAGTCGCCATTTCCTTCTTTGATGAACGATCGGGTTCTTCCGGTTTCCAAAAGTCGAGTGAGTTTTGCAAAATAAGGTTTTCTGGTTTGTTTGCTTGCATACTTTTGATCATAAAACAGGTAAGATTTCTATTAAATGCACATGGGTTTGATCTAGTAAGTGGTTATCTCGCGAATTAGATTTGTATTTTTTCATTTGTTTCTAATCTGTCACTTTATTTGGCTCTTATACAGCTGAGCTATTCTCATTTAGTATCCCAACTCTTATCTTTACTACATATCAGGTTTAGAAGCAATAATATACTTCCTAAAATTTGGTTTTCCTTAGCTTAGTGTTAGCTGGTAGGAGGCACTGCTTTTGTTTCTGCCAGTTTAAAGGTATATATAACTTCTCATTTAATCAGATCATTTGTGAAACTTAACTTTCTCTTTGTTGCTTGTTATCTGATAAATCAACTCTGCACCCATTTGCTAGTTACGCTTTTATCGAATTTTATTATATATGAATATTTTTGAGTCGCTTTCATTCTATCTAGCGAAATGTTGCTGATAATTTCATTTTTTGATGCTATTGTTCATCTATGCTAACATCACATTGTATGGTTAGCTTGTGC